CTTCCAGAAACCTGGAACAATTCAGCCCCACACTCATTCAYACAAACATCAGGGATGAAAACAAAAGGCTGCGTTTCCACATCAMGGGCCTTCGCTCTTGGAAGTACTGTTTTTCAGGGAGATTTGGTGCACAGGGCAGATGGGAGCCGGAAACAGATGATAGCGTAAGGCCTGGCCTGAGACATCTCTTGTATTCCCAGGAAGACAGATGAGAGAGTATCAACCCCAAACCAGAAAACCTCAATATCCTACAGCAACTGGACCGCTGCCGAAATAACGTGTCTGACTCTGATACCTACAATGCAGAGATGTTCCTATGTGAAAAAAGTGGTCAGAAGAGAAACCCACGAATTATGAAGAGATTGGAAAACGAGAGAGAGTGAAAAGGACTTTGCAAGATCTATATATTTAGATTTTCAAATAGAAAGGTAAAAGGTGACTTCATCCAAAGCTGTCAGAGCTGGCAAGAGGACTGAAGTCTGGATAACAGGCTCTGTAATCCAGCAGCCAAAGAAATAATGAGATCCCATGGCAAGGAATGCTGACAAGATACATTTATAAGAGAAAGAAGGCCCAAGTCTTCCAAAGGCTCCTCCAAACGGAGTGCAGGAGCTCTCCAAAACCACCCAGTGTGGCTTATAGCAGGCAGTACATTCAGCCTGTGTGTCCCCAATCCTCCCTGGCCTTAAGGACTTGCCACTGAGACCACCCATCCACCGAAAGACACATGCGCTTAAAACATCGCCTCACGAGCTGGGTGAAGCAGCTATCACCTGGCAGGAGACATCCCACGGCAGAATCTGGTGGAGGGAGAAGGCTGCGCTGGGCACGGCGTTTTTTGCTGAAAACCACAGAAAGCAACTGCAAGAGATGAAATCCCGCTTTTCAAGGTTAAGAGTCAGAGTTCTGACCCAGGCAGCTCCTATTCAATATTGGACAAGGCTGAGAGGCACCCAAGCAGGGAGAGCCCTTTTCCCCSCCTCTGCTGCTCCACCTGCACATCCCGCTCAGCTGGAAGGAGCACAACCTCCTTCAAGTGCAGGGCCAAGCTTCCTGCCCAAGAGCCCCAAGAAGGGTCCAAGCTGAGCTTCTTTGCACTGCTGAGAGCGGCACTGCGCTGCCAAGCCCAGGGGTGCATTGCCCTGAACAGGCCAGATGGACGTCCCACCTAGGGCGCAATCAGGGCTGCCCGAGCGGCTCCAGGGGCTGTCAGCCTCGCAGCGCCTGCAAGAGGCAAAATGCGGACACAAAGAGACTGGCAAACACAACAGCCCGCCGCAGAGAGCTCATTAAACCCAAGCCAGAGCGAACCCTCCCCAAAACGGCAGGAGGTTACGGTTTAATAACCACCTTGAAGGGCCGCAGAAATGGGCCACCACGGGAGAAACACTTGCCAGGTGCTCTAATTGACAACCCCCACCTGCAAGGGGGCACTTCTGCTGCTGACCCGTGACACCCATGGGTGCATTAACCCTCACCCTTCTGGCACGGCCTCTCCGCTCCACTTTGGGCCGAGGATAACGAATAGAAGAAGTTCATCAGCCATGTGATCAGGCAACATAGCCTACAGGTTTCTGACAGGCATGAAAACTACAGCGAGGGGCCAGCAATTTGAAGAGCCTGGATATAAGAGGTGGGATTCAGGACTCCTGGGCCTCGTCCTCAGCTGGGCAGGGGTGAAAGCAGGGCACACCTGCCTGGCAGCACGGAGAGGCACTGGCAGGAGCTGTTTGGAAAGCAACGTGCTGGAGCAATGCTGAATAACCCCAGCCTACCCCTCAAACAACCCACGCTCAGAGCAGCAAGCCAGCGCGGTCTCCTGGGCTTCTACAGAGGCAAATCAGGCCAGTCGCTGCTGCTSTCAGGCTGCCGTTAGAAGAGGAAGAATTTCTTCGCTTAGCTGCCGGGAAGGCTTGGAGGGCTGCTCCATTTCCACATGGTTGCCCGAAGTCCTGGCTGCATCCAAGGCAGATGCACAGGAAGGCCGCCAGCTCCCGAGCAGCCGGGAGTCACCGGGGTGCCCCAGGGGAGCACTGGGGCCAGGGAGATCTGGGCAACAGCGACTGTGTCCAGCGAGCTCAAACCACAGCACATTCTCCACGCGCAGCCCTTTGGCCGCAGCTCCCCGTGCTTGCACCCTCTGCCTCCACATCCCCCAGGCCCTCTCCTGGCCCTCTGCTCCCCAGATCCTCACCTCCTGCCTCCCAGCACCTCCGCAAGCCCCTTCCCAGGCCCCTTCTTCTCCCTTTGCCCCTCTCTGGTTCTGCAGCAGCTCCCTAGCCCATCCCTCTCCCACCTCACCTCCAAAGTCTTCCACTTCCCTCCTTCCAACCCCACTCGTGGCAGTGGCTCCCCTGCCTGCCTCCTCCATCTCTCCCCCTGTGTCTCCCACCTCCTCTCCCCCACCTCCTTCCCCTTATTAGCAGGCTGCTCTGCCGTCCTCCCATCCAGCAGAAACAGCTCCACTAGAGCCGATTCCTTCCTGCCTGGAGCAGGCGCCTCATCTCGGCCTCCATGGCCCCTTGGAGGCCTCCTCTCTCCTGTCATCCCATCCCCTTCACTCCAGATCCCAGTAAGACACGAGGGGACAGCTGGACCCGACCCACAACTCTCGTTAAAATCATCTCTTCTTCCAAGCAGACACTGTGGGGAAAAAATGAATTAATCAATTAAAATAAATCTGTCTCACTGCTGTCTCRGTTTCCTTAAGGGAGGCTGGCACGGGGCTGGGGAAGCAGAGGGAGAAGAAGGGATGGAAGAAGCTATTTGGAGAAGTCATCTCCATGGTAACCCACATTCCCATCGCAAAATGGGCACAGGTCGCTTGTTTCCATGAAAGTTTTTTTTCCCTCCCGCCTTCCTTCCCTTCTCCCCTCCCAACCTTTCCCCGTTTTTCCCTGCCTCGTGGCGGGGAGCAGGAGGCACCAGGGCGTGCCCTGCCGCAGCCACGCACATCCCGAGCGTCTCCCTGCTCATCACCAGGCAGAAAGGAGCTGAGCGCTGGCTCGTGGGTCCCAGCAGCCCTGCACAGACAAACCTTGGAGCAGGGACCCAGCCAGGCTGCRTGTCGTGCTGCTGCTCCCGTGTGAAGGAGAAGCCCTTGGGGCAGGTCTCAAGTGACAACTCATGGCCAAGCTGTAAATCACCTCCTACTTTGCTCCCAAAACACGGCAGAAATCCCAGAGCCTCCACACCCTTGGCACAGCACACGGGGACAGGCAGGAGCCCAGAACCCGTTCCCTCCGCCCCAAACCAGCTACCGCTCAGGCAGGGAACCTCATCTCCCTGTCTCCTTCCTCACAGTCCATCTAGCACAGCTGGGTGACAACACTCTGCGAGGGTAGACAGTGGCATGTGCCCCCAAAAACGTGCTCCTGGTGTCTCACAGAGCCTCCTTCCCACACAGCTGAAGATCTGCCATCAGCTTCACGGTGGCATCAAGGAGAAAGGGGCCCATGCCTGAGGGCAGACTTTGCTCCAGACAAATCGTGAGGTGGAGATCAAGATGGGTCTCCCTGATCCTCCTCTGGCACCGGCCACTTCCCTGGACGCCGGCACGTCCATAACATCTCAGTTCTTCATTTAGTTCAGAAAATGGCCACTCTCATTAAAAGCTGCCAGGTGTTCCCAGAAGAATCCAGGGTTCCCTTTGTGGCTCCAAAGATTTAACGGCTTGGGTGAATGATGTGTTCACCGGGCCCTTTCCCAGCACATCAGGCAGGTTCCAGGAGGAGACACAGAGAGCACAGAGCTTCCGACAGAGGATGACAGGGACCAACACACCCACTACGCTCTCCATGCCAGYCCCTCGCAGCTTGGTGCCATCTTCAGCGCGGGGTGCAAGGTGGCAGTGCTCTCATCTGCCATCTCTTCTGCTAGTGCCTACAGGAAACCACCTAAGGCCAGGGCAGACAAGGTGGCCTGTTTCCCCGAGCCCTGAACTGAAATTCTTGTGACCAGGCTGAACTGAATTTCTTGCAAGCAAAAAAAAAAAAAAAGAAGAAAAAATCTCTGAAGAGATTCTCACAGTTCCCCCACAGGGCTGGGATTTTTGCCAAGAAAAGCAAGTTTATAAATAGAGTGTTTCCACGTGAAATTTCCAAAATGAAATTTCCAAATGAAATTGCCGGCACTCCATGGGCAAATGAGCCACAGGGTGAGCACCACCCTTTGCCAAACATCTTCCCCGACGAGGAAGCAGAGCCACCTTTCCCCCACCTCACAACCAGACAGGGCCTTTCCTGCTGTCCAGAAAGGCCTAGACCCAGGGGTGTCCATGTCAGGTGGGATCCACTCCCTCGTCCATCCCTCTCCCCTCTTAAAAATGCCCTCATTGCAGTTGGCCCTGGCACCTCAAAACCTTACACAAACCAGCCCCACGCTTGATTCAAGAAGACCTGCAGCAGGGAGAATAACGAGTTGCTCGGGGAGGCAGCAAGGGCTCAAACAGTCACAAGTTCTGCAGGGTGAAGGCCAGCAGGACTGGCAGAGACACGCTCCACATGGAGTCAAAGGACGGTGAATTCAATCCATGGCTTGAAATCACATTTTCACCAGCTTGGGGGGGCAAAAGGTTTCTACCTTCCCCCAGCAGGAGACATCTGCCCTGTAGGTTACGCTGGCAGCTGAACCAGAAGTTTCACAACACCATACACGACAACTAGGGCATACAAACCTGCCTGATGAAAATTACTAGCCAGACTTTCAAGCAGTTTTTACCCCTCCATAAGAGAGAAATAGAACAAATCATCAGATAAGAACTTGCTTCTCCCAATCAGACAATAGAAAAGCCACCCCAACCTTCAGTGATTGAATGAATGTACAGGGGGACATCCCTACTCGGCAACTATGTGCTGGATGACAGGGGAGATCATGCTCATGTCATCCAAGGGAAGACATCAAGAGGCAAGACCTGGGAATAGCCCTATCAGCTGAGGGCAAGAGGAGCTTTTAACGCTCTGGTTAACGAGCAGGCCACTCTTCTCAGCACAGGCGCTTACCTTGATGTAGGTGTCAAGGGCCGGGTGGACACGGCTGACTGCCAGGTGGATAGACAACGGCGTGGTGAACGGGAACGTGGCCATGACCACGTGGCTGGGAGCAGGGAAGGAGAAGATCTTGAAGCCATACTTCTGGAATTGCTTGATCTGCTCCTCGGACGGCTTCGCATCGCCCTCGCTCAGGATGCGGCCTATGGCAAACCGGCACTTTTCTGGGGCCACCTGGCCGAAGGGAACAAACAGACAGTGTCAGAAAAAGAGAGGCTCAACGCAGACCAAAGCATCGCACGTTCAGCTGCTGAGCGTGGCAGCCAGAAGGCTTCAAAAGCTGAATGGCTTTTACCTGACCAAGCTGTGCCAGAGCTCGGCTTCAGAAAGTCCTTTCCCCCACTATGGGCCGAGTTTCTCTCCTCAAACCTGCTACGCAACTCAGTTTTCTTGGCTCCCACCCGAGGAGCATAAGTCAAGGTAACGGCTGTGGCCAGCAGTCCAGCACAAGAGCACCAGGGACAGCAGAGCCAGCAGCTGCTCCTAGGCAAGACGCTGATCTGTCCCAAATTGTTCGTGATCCTGCCAGGTTTGCACGTGCATACCCAAATGAGGGAGAGACACTAACCTCTCTGGAGAGCAAAGGGCCTTGCAGCCAAGAACAAAACCTCGCTCAGCTGTCTGCTGGCAAAAGCCTTTCATCCAAACCTGTCCCTTCTTCCCCAAAGAAGGAGAGTGCATTCCGAAGGAGAAAGCTGGCTGGAGGGGACCCTCCACCTCTCCAGGACAGCAGCACCACCACATGCTGCCTGCTCCACGGGCCACAGCTGCTGCCAAAATCTCCCTCGCGCCGGCACCAACCGTAGCGAAGCCCTGACTGCACAGGGATGCTCAGTGCCATTCCCACGTGCAGAATATCCCACGGCTCGCTGTGCTCGTGAGAAGCACAGCAGCAGCCCACCTTGTCTGCTTCCCCGCCACCGCAGAGGACAGAGCTCCGCTGCCACATGGGTGACAGGGTCTGCAGGACAACAGAGGGCAGGTTCAGGCAAGGCTGCCTCCAAAGGTCCGGGCCGCCTTGGTCAAGCCAAGTCTTCTCCCAGATTGCCAGTCTCCTCTCAAGGCTGGAAGCTGCAGGGTCCCCAGGCAGGCCTAGGAACAGGCTGACTGCTCCAGGAGAAGGGCGGCTGGTGGCGATGGCCCCAGCGCTGTGCTGGCCCACGCAACCTTCGCCACCTCCGTGCATGCGCCCCAGCAGGCAGATGTTCCCACTCCTGCTTTTCAGCCAAATCCCACCGCCCAGCTGCCCGTGCAGCACCACACAGGGATGTGCCAGGGGACAGGGCGGCCTCGCGGCTCTGCCCGGCCACCAAAGCTACCGCCCCCTCCAGCCCCCAGAGACGCTCGGAGAAGGGGCTGGCAGGCAGGGAGCTTCCAGGGCCAACTCTCCTTTCCCTCCTGCTGCAGGGGCTTAAAAGAGAAGCCCAGCAAGGAGAGGAGGGTGCAGGTGGCACCAAGGAGGCAACGTCCAAGCAGGCCAGATGTGTCGGTGCTCCTGCTGCCTGCCCTCAAACCTGCTTGCCAGAGAGAGGGAGCCCCAGATGGGACACACAACTGGAAGTACCTCAGCTGCCTCCTGCTAACCACCTCCCTCTTCTGCAGCTACCAMAGGACAGGGAACAAGCATCTCCATGCCTTGGAAGAGGCATCCAAAACCCACCAGGATCTGCTCAGATGAGTGTCAGAAACCATCAGGGAGACAGACAACCCGCTCCAATCAGCCCTGAAACCCTGGCAAGAAAGACAAAGGGCAGGGAGAAGGGGCGCATTGTCACTCGCCCACCTTCCACCCCCATGTGTCCCCCAAGGGGGTGGCTGCCCCATGCTACCCATCTTGCTCTGCCTGCACTGATGCTCAGTAGTGTCCTCTCCTGGAGCGACCCGTCCCGCTTGGGGTTGCAGGACCTTGCCCTCCCTTCCCCTTCCAAAAATGTTGCTGCTGCAGCACAGGAGCATCCTGGAGGGGAAAGAGAAGCAGATGCAAATGAGAGAACAGAAAAAAATATATATATACACACACACACATATATATACACACACACACACACACACACACATATATATATATACATATATATATATATACACATATATATATATGAGTGGCCATATCATCCAGGAGGCAGGGGACTCGTGCGAGACAGCTCGCTGCTGTCCTCGTGTGCCACAAGAAGGAGATGCACGCAGGGCTTTGCAGAGCAACGCTAACTCGGGCAGGAGGCGGGAAGAACGGCTCACCCCCTCCAAAAAGGGAGAAGGAGCAAAGAAAAGGGACCCGTGTGGGTAAAGCAGGAGCAGCTCTGGAGCAGACTGAGATTTGGGATGGCACCACCAGTCAACCTGCTTCTTCAAGGTGCGCTTGGTGTCCAGCTCAGGACAGGCTCTGGCACCGGGTACTGGGAACAGGAGCAGCGCAGGGCACCTGCAGCGCGCTCGAGCACCACTCAACTCCTGTGGCTTCACAGCAGCCCCGCACAGCGCTGCGTGCCATAAAGCCGTRCAGCACAACCTCCAACAAGATGGGAAAGGGTCCCCCGCAGCAAAAACCAGGAACGGCAGCGGTGTGACTTCCCAAGCCTGCCTGAAGTGGTTGAAGGGCTGCAAAGTGGCCTCGCCCCTCCATAAAGCCCCATGGAAAATGGCTGGATGAAGCTTAAAACCCCAGTAATTCCTGAAAAATACCAGCAAGTGGCACAGTACCAGGAGCAGCAGAGCTGTGGATCTTAAAGGTGGATGAAAATGGAAAGAAAAATCTCTTCCCAGGGCACTGTTGCTAGGGATATAGCCACTGCCATCCACAAGCTGCTGCTCTACCACAGAACACAGAGCATTTCATAGCACGTGAGCACTCAGATACTTGAGGAAAATCCAGATAAAATTCCTTGAAATACCCCATTTCCCCTGGYGCAGCCGATTCACCCACAGCCCCAGGGCAGCCACTGCAACAGGACGAGCTGCCAGGGTGAGCCAGGGCAGCCTCCCCACTCTCTCCTCCTTTCAACCACCGCTTCCTCCACGACTTCAAGCCGGTGGTTCTGCCTCCTGCCCTGCCTGGCAAAGCCCATGGCAAGCGAGGGGAGGGAACCCTCCAAAGCAAGCACTTAATGTCAAACCTGGCCTGCCTCCAGCAGCCCTCATCCTTCCAAGGTGAGGCAGGCATGGAAGGGAAGAGCGTGCATTCAAAAACATAGCTTTCTTGGAGACATTTAGTTAAAAATGTCTCATGTGAGCAGGAGTTTGGTCTCACAGGGAAATCTCAAGAGCAGCGTGTTACACTCCAGCTTTCAGCACACCTGCATCTACGGGAAAGCCAACGACAACTGCAGCCTGCCATGGAAGAAGCTCCTGGGGGACTGCTTGCTCCTCCGCAGGCAACAGGAGCTCTGCTCCCTCAAAACACRCAGGGGAAAAGCTTGAGCACTGACTGGTTCTCCTGTTTGCGGGGCAGCTCTGCCTGGAAGGAGCAAAACTCCCTCCTGCATTTGSAGGGCGACTTGTCTCATCCCTCCAGCACTTGAGGACGGGTTAGTCCTTGAGCACAGGAAGGTGTTGACTGCAGGCAAAAGGCCCCAGCGTGCGACTACAGCTCCACTGGAGCAAAATGCGTGGCTGGAGCTGGGCTGGAGCCTGCTGCCATATCCAGCCCTTGCTGCTGAGCTATTTTTGTCCCCTGGCAAAGGTGAGAGGAGGAGGGAGGCTGCTAAAAAATTAAATGAAAAGGCAGAAAACGTGGAAGTTAATATTAATGGTGTCCATTAAAATAGGGAGCACGCTGCTGGCAAGGGCTCTTGGGCACTCCGGGAGCAGCGCGTGAAAACCGGAGGCTGTGAGGGAAGCCCGGGGCACACGAGGCCACGACTGCCTCCCCTGCACCCATCACGGTGCAGAATCAARCGGGAGGCTTCGGCCACCCCTCTCGACAAGGGCTCTCCTTTGCCTTAATCCTGGCACAAAGCTGCCACCCAGTGATTTTCCTGCCTCCTTCCAGCTTTCAAAATCCCACATTCCCTCCTCTCCAGAACTGCTAGCAAAACCCCARGGGGACCATCTCCTTTTCACCACCCACACTGGGACCACCAAAATCGTGCAAGGAGCTGGGGATCTGAGGAACTCACCGAGAGCAGGGCTGGAGACCCCTTCTTGGCAAGGGCCTGTCTGCATTTCACTGCCCGTGGGGCTAGGGATGCTGCAGGACACAGCCATTTCCATGGCCACGTGGTTTCCTCATGGCAAAAGCGCCTAGCTTTGGTCCTAGGCCAACATGACCAGTCGGTTGCGATCTCCGAGCAGAGCAGCCTCTGCTTCCCTGTGCAGGGACGTTTCGAGCCACATCACGGGCACAGCAGCGCCGAGGAGCAGCAGCAGCTCCTCCCTCCCCTCAGCAACGTCCTCCACAAGGCAAGGGATGGATCCCACCTTACTCGAGACCCAGGCGCCCATCCCGAACCAGGCCCTTCCTGACTTGCCAGAAGGCAGGGCACCAGTGCCGTGCCCGTCTCAAGAACAATTTCACTCCCGGTGCTCAGCGTAGGCGCCACCAGCCCCGGGGGTCCTTGGCCTGACTGTCCGAGTCCAGGCAAAGCGCAGTCCCCTTGTCCCTCCCTGGAAATCACCCCGGGCTTTGCAGGAGGGAACAGGCCACCGCAGCCCGGGGTTTCCTCCTAGCTCCGTCCTCGCCTGGTGGTTCTGCAGGCGCCCCCCGCCTGGCCCCCTCTTCCCATGAAGGAGACGGGGATCTCCCCGCGGGGCTGACCTCATCACCCAGCGCTATCCAGGGGCTGCAACCGGTAGAAGCACAGACGCTACCGGAGCTCATGACACCTCAAAACCGCCCCGGCTGAGACGGGCAAGGGTATGATGGGACCCGCTCTGCAGCAGCCATGGGGCAGAGAGCAGCCCAGACGCAGCCTCACGCATCCCAACAGGCCTGACCTCCTGGGAGCACCCCTTGGCAGCAAGAGCCAACGCTGACAACCCCCGTAGAGATGGCAGGAGCATGCGGCTTCTCCCGGCTCAGCGGGCAGGAACTCTGGAGCCACAGGTCAGCCCCAAATCCTCCTATCAGAGCTCCTGCTTGCAGGAGAAGAGTGCAAGGATTGAATCTGTGAAGCTTCATCTTCRCCCTGCACCAGTGATGGCAGAAAGCAGCTCCCAGCTCAAACCACAGAAGGACCAACAGACCAGAAGGATCCAACAGAGAAGCAGTTCATCTGTCTGGGATCGCAGCCAGGAACTCCCAGCCTGATGCACAGATGTGTGGCCAAGAAACCACCTAGAGGCCCTGGTCACCACCCCTCCCAAGGGCCCTGCTGTGTCCTGCCACCTCCAGGAGCTTGCCTTGTCCCTCAGCAGGGACATCAAGTTCTCCCAGTGGCATCAGCAACCAGAGAAGAGGAAACAGCATCTTGAGGATGGGCTGCAAGGACAAGAGTTGGTGAAAGGCAGAACTGGCCGCTTGGATTCCTGCCACAGTGCCACTTAGTCCATACACCAGCCCATACCTGTGCCCCCCATCAATTCCGATCCCTCATCCAGTCCAAATGAGCCACTTCTTGTGGGCAGAAGTGTCCAAAYGTGTAGGTGGGACCCCATCTCTGCCCAGAAGGGAAGTCCCCACTTGCCTTCCCAGAGAAGCAGAACCACTGATCCAGAAGCAACAATGGGAAAAGGGACATAAGGCAGCTAGTCATGCCCTGGGATAATAGGGACACCTCCATCTAGGCGGCTGAAGGCACCAAACTCCGCAGAGCACAGCCGAGCCCAACGCCTGCTGGCCTCCAATCCCTCCCTGCCACAGCATACTGCATTTGCACGGGCAGGAGGCAGGTTCCTTAGTGAAGGATGGTCACCTCAACAGCCCAGGGATGAGCAGCCCTGAGCAACAGCCGGCAGAGGCCACCCACAGCGGGCAGCATGCATGGGCCCTCATCCCTCGCAGCATTCCTCCTGGGACACACTGCCTACCGCGGAATTACCAAGGAGCCAGCCTGTCTGCCACAGACAAGCGCCCACCCACCGCTACCTGGTGCCCTCGGTGCCACCTCGCCCTGGCAGCCAGGCTGCCGAGCCTGGCTGCACGTTCATCTGCTCCCGGTGCTGCCCCAATTGTACCCAGCAGAGCACTCGGTTCCGATTCGTAGCAGAGTAGGCTACAAACGTAGTTCAGGCACTAAACTGATGATACCAAACTGGGTGGAGTAGCTGATAGCCCTGAGGGCTGGGCTGCCATCCAGAGGGACCTGGACAGACTGGAGGACTGGGC